TTACTATTTATGCATTTCATAATTTTTTTTTCTCAATATAGTAAGTTTGCCTTTTTCTTTCTTTTTTGTCTACTTCTAATATACAACAAGAATTCTGATGAAAGATCTTTGATATAGGGGATATTTGTGAAATATGTTACCAAAGGATTATGGACATAAATGGACGCCCGTGGAATGAACGAGTGTTCCAGTGAAAGAATTCCTATGGACGATTATGAAGATGCCGTCGCTGTAATGCATGATCCAATCCACCAACTTCCCGGAGGGTATCCATTATGGTGGAACGCACGTGTTTTCCAAAATAAAGAAACTCTGATCGAGTTTCACCGACGCCAAAAGACTTATTCCTTATAACGATATCGTTTCGAGGATGCTTACCAACAGGTGAGACAACACACGTGGATTGGCTTAAGGCAGCCCACCGATGGAGGAAGGGACCTATAAATCGAGGGAATATGAGGAAACAGTTTGAATTTTACTACAGCGACAACAGACTCGTATTTATTTTCCCTGAGGGAGTCTTAAGCATAAGATGAAACACTTAGGACTGTTTTTACTTCACTCTGCACCATTTTTTATTTAAATGTATTGCCTCATTCAACTATTGGACCTGAGAACTTTTCTTCACCATACCATTCTGGAACAGGACAAATTTATTGATGGGCATTCTTTTTACATTTATCCTGTTAGTGTAACCCAATAAAGTGTTTCTTATTATATATCACTGTGTTGCATTGTTTGCTTTTTGTTTCCTTTGACATGTGCTTTCCAACATCTGATATGGAATCAACATCATATTGATGAGCCTGAATTTTAACAAATTTTGTGAGTGTGCCCTTGAAATTCTAGTATTATCAGTGTTCATACTCTATTACCTTATGAACTGTATTTTGTTTTTTTGTAGATATATTTCAGTTGTGTTTTAATCGTTCTGATGATATGGAGGAATCCTGTACTATATCTAAATTTTATATGAAAGGGTAATAACCATTCATTTTATACTATTTGCACTGCACTTTTGAGGTGATTATAGAGTTTTTATCTTTTGAAGTATTGTGTGTGTATGTGTGTGTGTGTGTATATATATATATATATATATATATATATATGTATATATATATATATACATACAATGAGTCCCTTACCCTTTCCAACCAATATAGTACAATAGTACAGATATCTAATATCTGTCTCTCTCTCTCTCTTTATATATATATATATATATATATATATATATATATATATATATAGCCAAAAGTACAAGATAGCACTCCAGGGACTTCCAAGTTGAATGAATAAAACTTAGCTTTTATTAGCTCAAAATAAAAATCAACGTTTCAGTCTGTATCACAGACTTTCATCAGGATGAGCTTGCAAATCAAATCCATAAGAATATATACCCTCAGTATTCCCTTAACTTACCCAGGTTGAGGATAGGAGTGATCCCAGGGGCACCTGACCAGCAGCCTGCTCAGGTCAAATGATTGACACTGATGATGTCATAGACGTGCGCCTCCCGGGGTCGTTCCCATAGCAACCCAGTATAACCAACAAAATAATACATATACATATAACTAAAAACATAGCCTGCATACAGGAATAAAAAATGTTGAAGAAAGACCTATACACCCCATCAGGGGCCATCTAGATACAGAGAAAATCCATAGAGAACACGTTAGAGATAGACAGCAGGCAGAACTAATCGAAAAGCGATCAAACTGTAATTAGCCTGTAGCAACCTATTAACAAGATATAAATATACAAACTGTACTACCTAAGGAATAGATAATGCATAAAGAAGACATATAACTTATACTACAAATACAAAAATGCAGGCATAAGCAATCAAACCTGCAGAGATTCCAATCTAACTACAGGGAGCAAAGTACCAACAAACAGCAATTGAAAGCATAATTGTACCAAGAGTAATGTATCACGCCGAATCCTTAGAGATCATTATACAGGTAAAAAGAGTAGTAAAGGATAAATGTCAGAACTTCTTAGTCAAAAAAGGGAGAAAACATGAACAGACGATACCAGATATATGTGATTAAATATCCACCAACTAAACCTATGGGGAAAAGAACGTAATGCACAATAACCAGAAGATACAAGTATAGCCACTAAGCAGAGCTGCAGTGATCTAGAGAGAAGAGGGTACCAAGAATGACTGGTGTACTCCCAGTCTAGTCCAACATGAACACATAAATAAATACATAAATAACTCAAACACTCAAGCAGCAGAGCAAAGAACCAATGTATCCCTGAATCTATATAGACTGGCATAAATCACATAATGCATACAGAATACAAAATAATACAAGCGAAGGACATAAAGCAAAGGTCCTTAACAAAATCACATTGTTATATGATTTGCAAGCTCATCCTGATGAAAGTCTGTGATACAGACTGAAACGTTGATTTTTATTTTGAGCTAATAAAAGCTAAGTTTTATTCATTCAACTTGGAAGTCCCTGGAGTGCTATCTTGTACTTTTGGCTGTATCTGTTTGCTGATAAGCACCGGGCAAGTACATCAAGGAAGGTGGAGTGCATTACTATTTTTGTTTTGTGTGATTTTGGGCTATTGGCAATATCCCTGGTTTTTGCACCCCTTAGTAGACTTGCGCAACACTATTGGTTCGCACTACTTGGTGAGATTTATAGTTATTTACTTTTTTCTAATTATTGGTTTGCACTTTTGCTGCAATAACCTGTTTTCATCTGAGTACCATACCTTCATCTAGTATTATACTTATTTGTTTTTATGGAAGACTTTTTCACCCTAGCCGGGGGGCTATCTGAACAAGCAGAGATCCTCCAATATAGTGAAGGAGATGCTGAGAGGATTCGTTGGACTTCCTCTACTACTGATCTCCCTAATACTACCTCCTTGAAGGATATTTATTTCCAACTTTTGCGTTTAAGAAAGCGAGAGACGGATCTGGACCTTCATGGTCTTTTTCTCCCGGATTATCATCGGAAACTTCAAATACCTAGGGGGTTTCGAGTCAGTAATGTCCCTACTATAGGTAGACTTAAACCTATGACATGCAAAAAATGGATCGGGGTCTTGAATAAATGTTCCCTCGATCTTATGTTAATTATAATTGAAGATGTAAAGGAAGAATTGACACAAGTAAGACGTAAAATAGCGGAATTACAAACACAGGAAGCACTTATCCTATCCTCCACAGAGGCGGCGACCACTCTATTGAAATTGGAGGATTATGTTAAAACCTATAAGACAGATCTAATCAGGTTTAAGAGAGAGAAACAAGCTGTTGTCTCAGCTGACTACAAGGAACATCGGGTGTATAGGTGGCTCAGTGGCCATAGTGATACCCCGAGGTTTGCGAGACGCCGGAGACCGGTCCGCAAACCCAGACAATTTACCATCGACAAATCCTCAGGCGAATCCAACTCCGAATCAGATGCTGCTAATCCATCCATTCAACGTAAGCCTAACCAAGATACAAGGGTAGCTTTTTTAGAGTCCCGTCCAACAGAACATCAGGGGATAATTACGAGGTACCAGAGCAGAGCAGGCAACACAGACACAGGTACATCACAAGACGAGGACAGAGGGGACGCACATGGTGGGGCAAGAGAAAGGCCACCTCGGATGAGAAGATAATTCCAGTCTTCAATTTATCATCTAGAACCCTCCTCCCTGGCGAACTCCTGTTGCTGTCTAAAGGACTGTCATTTGTCCCCACTACACGGCCAGATCCATTGAAGTGGGAGGTGGAACTTTATAAGTTTGGCAGAACACTGCGCCTGAAAGATTTCTTTAAGGAATCAATGTGTGAGACTCCACTGACAAGCCCTATCTTTAAGAAAAAGAGCACATTTGACCCACTTCCTAATCAGCCTGGGATCAAGGCCTTTTTACGTGCGGTACAAAAGGAATCTTCAGATTTTCTTCAGGAGAAACATTGTTATCACTCCAACTGCTCCAAAAAAGACAGAGACATCATCAAATCTCTCTCAACAGACAATAACATTGTTATAAGACCGGCAGACAAAGGGGGAGGAATAGTCCTGCAGAACTATTCAGACTATCAGTCAGAAATCCTCCAGCAGTTATCGGATACCAATACCTATCTGCCACTACCTGGTGATCCCACTGGGAACGTTCACCAGCAAATCATGGATGCCTTACAGAGGGGCCTCAGAAGTAATTATATTGATATGCAACTATATCAATATTTACTCCAAGATAAACCAAAGACACCGATCATCTACACTCTCCCTAAAATTCACAAGGATAGCACCAGACCACCAGGCCGCCCAATTGTTTCAGCCATTGGGGGGATTCTTGAGCCTGTGGCAAAATGGCTGGATTTCCTATTCAAAGACACTATTGAGAACCTAGATACAGTCCTGAAAGACACTCCTACCTTCCTCAGACTTCTAGCCACTTTAACACTTCCGACAGTACCTGTAGTGTTGGTAACATGTGATGTAAGGAGCTTATATACCGTAATTCCACACCAAGACGGTATACAAGCTATGAGAGCACTTCTATCTCAGTCTCCCTACTATACTGGACCACCCGTGGAGTTTGCACTGGAACTCTTGGAGATCGTCCTGTCTCAGAACTATTTTAGGTTTGAAACTAAATGGTACCGCCAGATTGCAGGTACTTCCATGGGTGCGGCGATGGCACCCATGTATGCAAATGGATACATGCATCAGTTTGAGAGCTTACATATTCTACAGCCCTTTAAAGAACAGATTGTAGCATACACACGCTACATCGATGACATCTTTATGATTGTTAAGGGCACTACTACAGATGTAGAACAAATGATTCAGTCCATCAATATAGCGTCTTCTAACATTGAGCTGACTTCAGCAATCAGTACGGATCAGGTCGATTTTCTGGATGTCAGAGTTTACCGTGAAGGGGACAAATTGGCACATACATTATTTACAAAAACAACAGATCGCAACACATTGCTGCATGCAACCAGTTTTCACCCGTCTGCCTTAAAGGAATCCCTACCATACTCCCAATTTTTGAGAGTTTTTCGAAACAATTCTGACCTTGAGAAGGCACAGATTCAAATTTCAGCTATGTGGCACAAGTTTAAGATGAGGGTATAAGGATAGCACGCTTCAACGTGCGTTATTGAAATGCCAAAGTGAAGATTTGGCTGTTAAAGAAATAACACATGCCCCTCGTATAGTATTCCCTACTACGTACACCTCGGCATCGATGGAGTTTAATAACATTATTAAGAAGAATTGGATTGTTTTAACCAATGACCCGTCATTACCAGCTGAGTTTAAAAATCCCCCCCTGACATGCTACAAAAGAAATCAAAATCTAAGGGATCTCCTGGTATGCACTGACCCCATTCATTGCTATCAACCTCCATCTAGCAAGATTAATTACGGATGCTACCGTTGCTTAGGTTGTGTGACCTGTGGACATATGCTGTCAGGCAAAACATTCACACACCCTCACTCTGGGAAACCCTACACCATTCGACATCGCTTAACGTGTACATCGGATTTTTTAATATACAAACTTACTTGCCCATGTGGACTGGCCTATGTGGGCAAAACAGATTTACCCTTACGTGAACGAATCCGTAACCATAGATCCAGTATACGGACTGCTTATAGGGACAACAAATCTGAGCAACCCGTGGCAAAACATTTTCTTGAGAAGGGACACTCGTTGCCCACCCTGAAACTGATAGCCATAGACCATGTTCCACCTTTGCGCAGAGGTGGAGACCACAGTAAACTGTTATTGCAGCGTGAACTGTACTGGATTAGGACTCTACACACCGTTCAGCCATTTGGTTTGAATGAAAAATACTCATTGGCAGTATTTTTGTAAATATTGGTATCGTGGTTTTGGTTGATAGGGGAACGAGAATGCCCACCCAGGGGGATAGGCATCTCTAATATCCTTCCCATTATACCGCTTTGCTATTCACATATTTAGCAAGTTGTTGGCACTTATTGGCGACTATTAAGGGCTTGGAGGTAGCCCACCCTGGGGGATAGGCATCTCAGCCATTCTTAATTTCAGCCTAAGGCTCTAATGCATTTTTGTGCTTCTTACTAAAAAAAATCTAAAAAAATCTTTAGGATGATTCATGTTATCTGTCTGATGGCGGATGAGTTTAGGGTTAAGAGACAGCCCACCCTGGGGGATAGGCGTCTCAATTACCCATTCCACCCAGTGCGAATAGGATTATTATTATATGTCTATAACAATGTGATTTTGTTAAGGACCTTTGCTTTATGTCCTTCGCTTGTATTATTTTGTATTCTGTATGCATTATGTGATTTATGCCAGTCTATATAGATTCAGGGATACATTGGTTCTTTGCTCTGCTGCTTGAGTGTTTGAGTTATTTATGTATTTATTTATGTGTTCATGTTGGACTAGACTGGGAGTACACCAGTCATTCTTGGTACCCTCTTCTCTCTAGATCACTGCAGCTCTACTTAGTGGCTATACTTGTATCTTCTGGTTATTGTGCATTACGTTCTTTTCCCCATAGGTTTAGTTGGTGGATATTTAATCACATATATCTGGTATCGTCTGTTCATGTTTTCTCCCTTTTTTGACATTTATCCTTTACTACTCTTTTTACCTGTATAATGATATCTAAGGATTCGGAGTGATACATTACTCTTGGTACAATTATGCTTTCAATTGCTGTTTGTTGGTACTTTGCTCCCTGTAGTTAGATTGGAATCTCTGCAGGTTTGATTGCTTATGCCTGCATTTTTGTATTTGTAGTATAAGTTATGTCTTCTTTATGCATTATCTATTCCTTAGGTAGTACAGTTTGTATATTTATATCTTGTTAATAGGTTGCTACAGGCTAATTGCAGTTTGATCGCTTTTCGATTAGTTCTGCCTGCTGTCTATCTCTAACGTGTTCTCTATGGATTTTCTCTGTATCTAGATGGCCCCTGATGGGGTGTATAGGTCTTTCTTCAACATTTTTTATTCCTGTATGCAGGCTATGTTTTTAGTTATATGTATATGTATTATTTTGTTGGTTATACTGGGTTGCTATGGGAACGACCCCGGGAGGCGCACGTTTATGACATCATCAGTGTCAATCATTTGACCTGAGCAGGCTGCTGGTCAGGTGCCCCTTGGATCACTCCTATCCTCAACCTGGGTAAGTTAAGGGAATACTGAGGGTATATATTCTTATGGATTTGATTTGCAAGCTCATCCTGATGAAAGTCTGTGATACAGACTGAAACGTTGATTTTTATTTTGAGCTAATAAAAGCTAAGTTTTATTCATTCAACTTGGAAGTCCCTGGAGTGCTATCTTGTACTTTTGGCTGTATCTGTTTGCTGATAAGCACCGGGCAAGTACATCAAGGAAGGTGGAGTGCATTACTATTTTTGTTTTATATATATATATATATATATATATATATATATTGTGAAAAAGTGTTGAGGATGGTGGTCAGGGGTGTATATCTGGGTGTATATCTGGCACCCAGATTTTTGCACAGCCACTATCCTGACATGTGGGTAAGCACACAGGACTGTCCTCGGCATTTTTGCGTTGCCGACCGAGGACGGTCCTGAACCGCCCTAACAGAAAACGGGCGGCAGGAGCAATCGGAGATCACTTCCGCCGAAATCCCGTTGTTACTATCTGCCCGGCATCCCAAGCAGATAGTAACAGCCAATTGCGGCGTGTGAGCGATCCGCGACCACTCACAATTGGCTGGTGTCAAAGTGGGTGTTACAAACTCTCACTTTGACACTGAGCGTTTTGTGAGGCGAGAGAGACAGAGATTGTGAAATATTGTTGCAGCAGAAGTGTTCCAGAGTTTTCAGTGTGAATAAAAAAGTATCAGCAGTGAATAAAAATCCCCTTTTAACGCCTTCCCTGCCAGATCTGTTACAGACAGTGCATTTGTACTGTCTGTATTTTTTTTTGCCCTTAAGGGTTAACTTTATTTTAAAAGTCTGTGTCTTAGACTGTCTTAGTCTGTCTTAGTCAGCCAGTTTCCCCCAAATCTCCATTAGATTCTTTTAACAGGAGCTAACTCCTGTTAAAATAATCTAATGGAGATTTGGGGGAAACTGGGATTACTGTTTTAGTCTGTTTTAGTAAAAAAATAAAAATAAAAAAAATATATATATATATATATATATATTTTTTTTTTTTACTAAAACAGTAATCCCAGTTTCCCCCAAATCTCCATATATAAAAATTTGTGTTTAGCATTTTGTTAGTTTAGTCTATTAGTGTGAAACATGCAGCGCATGTACAGCTTGGAGGAGGCATATGCTTTCTTGGCGTCAGACTCTGACGCCACTTACACTGTGTCCGATTTTGACCCAGGTCAGTTTAGCGTCACGTCTAGTGACATGTCATCTGTGTGTGAGCCAGCTGCTAAAAGAAGCTGTGCTTCCCCTGCTACGCCGAATGTGGAGGAGGACTGGGTACCTCCACAGTCAGCTGAGCCCAACATCCTCCCTCTTAGTGCCAACGCAGGCATTATTGTGAATGTGGTTGACTTCTCCCCTATACAATATATGGAGTTATTTTTAGGGGATACCATCTGGGAGGAGATTGTTTCCCAGACTAATTTATACGCTAGCCAATTTACTGAGACCAATCCAGGTAGCTATACAGTCAGGGAGCATGCTTGGCATCCCACAGATGTCCCTGAACTTAAAAAATTCCTGGCTCTTACAATGCTCGTGGGGATAATAAAGAAGCCATAAATCCGCTCTTACTGGAGCACCAACCCAATTTGTTCTACAATATACTCCCAAACAATGCCTAGACCAAGATATGAGCTGCTGCTGAGATACTTACATTTCAATGATAATACCCTCTGTCACCCCAGAAATCACCCCCAATATGATAGGCTTCATAATATACGCCCACTGGTAGACCATCTTCAGAACAGATTTTCTGAAGTTTATACTCCCCAACTAAATTTATCTATTAATGAATCCCTTATGAAATATAAAGGGAGATTAGGGTTCAAACAGTATATCCACTCAAAGCGGTCTAGGTATGGCATTAAAGTGTACAAACTGTGCGAGAGCGAAAGTGGCTACACATTTGCCTTTCGTGTATATGAGGGGAAAGATGCTCAACTGAACCCTCCTGGCTGTCCTGACTCTCTCTGGGGACAAGTGGGAAACTTGTTTGGGACCTACTGACAGGGCCGCCACCAGAATTTTTGGGGCCCCAAACTCAGGTCAGGGTCTGGGCCCCCTGGGGCCAGCCTCCAATCCCACTTACTGCCTCCAATTCCTGCCCACAGGAATACACACACAAACACACACACTGATACACAAGGACACAGATACACACACACACACACAGATACATACGAACAGACACGCATACTGAAACAGACATACACGCATATAGGCATACATACTGACATACACATACTGAGACATACACACATATACAGACACACAGGCATACATAGTGACTGACAGACATACTGACATACATACATACATACAGACACACATGCATGAGGACATACAGACACATACATACATACATACATACATACATACATACATACACACTGACATACATACAGACACCGACATACATACATACACACTGACATACATGCAGACATCGACATACATACATACATACATACACACACACACAGACATACTTACAGACATCGACAGACATACATTAATAATGACATACTGACATACATACATTTG